ATGGGTTGCAATCCAGCGCAAACTACCCACCCTAAACAGAAGGTGTACAGCACATATTAATTCCACATTGTGCATTCTCTGCAATGCAGAACTTGAATCCCATGACCACCTATTTTATACTTGTGCATTTGTCCAACCCTTATGGCACTTTTTACAGGCACTTTGTGGGTATCATATACAGCCTTCTTCTTGGACAGACTTCATTGTTTAGGCATCTCACCATTGGAGGGGGAATTCAGATTACCATAGCAACACAGTTTCCAAAATGGGATTAGCTTCTTTAGTCTACCATGTCTAGAATGAGAGAAATAGAAGAATCTTCAAGAAGAAATCAAACAATGCAAACTCAGTGCTTCATCTTACTTTGGAAGCAATTAGAACCAAACTGCTCTCCTCTACAATTTTTGATACACTTAATGCTAGGAGGGTTACCAATGAATGGGAGCTTCCTCAGTCTGTGATTCGTCCCCCAAAGAAACCACCAGATGCAGGAAGCTAGCTATGCATAGCATTATTGGATTCATCATCCATTTCTCAGTACCGGATTGCTGTGTTGATACTTTGATCATACACAACTGTTGTTGGATTGTTTTGGGCTTAAATGCTCTATACTTTCCATTGGGCTATTTTTCTGAAGTTAGCAATGGGCTAACTTCTTTGGGCTTGTATGTACTCTTTTATTATTTAATATTAACCTTTAACTTTCAAAAAAATAAAAAAAAAACTTTAAGTGCTCAATTTAATAATTTGATAACATGTTTGACAAGATATTTGTAAAATACAAAAGCTAAAATTTGAAAGTTATACAAATTATATTTTTACTCTCAATATCCTGTAATAATAACAATTTTATATTTATAAAACAAAAAATAGTAATAAAACGACCAATTGCATTCAAAGAAATATATCAATTTAACAATGAATATTCATGTCCAAACTAATCATAAAAAAATTAATTTAAACTTAAATACTGAACATTATTCAAGCCGTACTTATTAACATAATTTTAAAAGTGAATTTTGAAAATATTTAAATTAAGCTAAAAATGTAAAATTTTAAGCACGAGAATCAAACAAATCATTTGCAATTTGGTGAAAAACAAAATTGCAAATGATTTGGTGAATTTTAAAGAATGTCAAGATTTCAGCAATACTAGGTGGAGCCTCAAATTGCAATTGGTTGGTTAATTTTAGCAATACTGCTCAGAGAATTCATCCGCGGCGATTGTTTTCCAAATAATATTTATCTACAATGTAATTCGTACAAAAAGTTAATAAAGTGTATGATAAGTTTTTTTTTTCCTTGAATGATAAATATTTAATTCAATAATAATATTACTAAAAAATATTAATTAAAAGATATTGGTAAAAAAAACTAACCTGGTGGAGGAAATGGAAAGTTATTTTTTATTTCTTATCGAAAGACATAAATAAAAATAAAATTTTTAAATATATGTGCACAATATAGATTTAAAAATATTTATGTGACCCACTATGTATCAAAAAGATTATATTTGCGTGTTGAAAGATAGTACTATTTGCCAAAGTTAAAGATAGTAAAGAAGAATTATATTCTAAAATTTTAGTGAATTAAGGCATAATTTGTACTTACAAAAAAAATAATAATAATTATAGTGAATTAAGGTGAATTATAGTAAAAATTTTCTTTGACAATAATACTATGATAATAATATTTTTGCTAGAACTTAGAAAATCAACATTTTAATGGTCAAGCCCACTGTAATTTTTTCAAATTAATATATTTGATTAAAATTCCCAAAAAAAAAAAAAAAAAAAAAAAAAAAAAAACATTTTAATTGGTCAAACTTGTTAACAATGTTGTGAAGTATCTAGTCTTAGATACATGATTGTACTATTTAAGAAGCATCAAATACGTAATTGAAGTATTCGAAAAGTATTGAATATAAATTAAAAATATATATTTTTTAAATTATATATATGTCTAGTATATATCGAACAAATATTTGTGAATATTCAAAAAGTTTCAGTATCTGATAATAAAATGATACAGTAAGTCACATTTGTAGAAGCATGTGTACTTCCTAAATCTTTGAACATCAACTAATTAATGTAGAAGACGGTGACATTAAAATGGGAAAACAAACCCTTAGAAATACTATATAAGAAGTAAATGAACCAGTCAATCTGGTATAAATGTCATGTAATATTACTGTACGTTAAGAGTCCAATAAGCAATCCAGTCAATAGTCAATATGAGAGGTACCTCATGTATTAAGTTTCCATAGATGAAATTTCATAAATTAATGTCCGAAGCATACACACTGAGTTTACAATTTCCTATATTATTAAATGTCAAGTGCTTGAACACACGGATTGACCATCATCATTTCCTTACCAGTATAGCTTATGTTTGTTTCGATGGAAGGAGGAAAGAGAGGAGTGATGAAAAAGGCTTTTAATATATATTTGATTTAAAGGGAAGAGAAGGACGAAACAAGCTCCTAGCTCATGTATTTTTTATCCCTCCAAATTAAGTGTAATAAGAGAGGGGGAAAGAAAGAAATTTTTTAATACAATTATGTAATATCAATTTCAATTTTTTAATTATTTACAAAATTACTCGGTAAATCCCGTTGAATTTTACAGTGAATATTTACTTTTTATAAGTTTATATAATGAATATGTATTGTTGTGTTATTTCTTCCATTCAATTAAAAAAAAAAAAAAATGAGAGAAACATCTTTTTCTTTTCTAACACCTATTCATTCATCCCCTCTCTCTTTCATTTATTTTTTTCCTTCTCTCCCGCCAACAGGACGGTCTGAAAAGTCCACACTATAAAAAGACTCCCATCTATTCAGAGATATCTTATTGAAAGATGGTTTCTAAGTTTCCAACTAAATAATGTGACTTCCATGTATCTTGTTTTGCCATTTACTTTTCATTAAATATGCAAAAACATGCGCTAGCTTTTATGTCAAATATAGCAGACTTGTGTCACATTTTGACCTCTTCTTTATGGTGTATTGACTTAAAACTTGTATTTAGTTTAATTTTTAATGGTATTATTCTTTGCATTTGATGAGATGTGAAAATCTTAGGGCCAGATTGAACTAACATTGTTATATACCACGAGAAATTATTACATGCTATATTTAATTTTTTACGGTAGTAATTTCTCTATATATGCCGGTCTGCTTCTTCGGTCCCACACAATTAAGGAGGTCAGTTGGTCCAGAAGAGGAAAAGAAGAAGACTGACTTTTAAAGAATGAGTGCATACTAGAAGAGGCCCGGGAAATAGAATTACAAAGATCGATGTAACAATATTGATGTGAAAGACCTGAAAAAAAAAAAAAAAACACTAGTTGGAATGGCTGGTCAATTCATTTGCATTGAAAGGATGCAATGATTTGACTGGCCTTTTTAATAGCATGGTTCAATTTTCTAACAATATACGTAGTAATAGACAACTTGGACTTATGTGATCACGTCTAGAAATAAAATGATATGTGGGATTTATTGGGCCTTTTGACCGTGGTTTAAAAGAAGAATGCAAGTTCTCTCCGGGGCATAGTTCTTAGGATGGTAACGAGTGGAGTTGGAGTGAAATTAGCTAAATTTTATTCTATCTCGTTAAAAAATTTGTTATATTAATTTCGCTTTCACTCCGAGACGGATTTGTAATTGATTTGCCATCCCCGTCCTTATTTTGGTAGACAAAATACTAATTCTACCCTGCATACTTCGTTTAATTGCGATAAAATTAAAATTGTTGAATTAATTCCTAGACATAGAATAAAATACTAAGATCTTGAATCCTTGATTGATTATTAAAAATTGAATCACATGCACAATTTTAAAATTTTAGTAAGTAGTGATTCTAGTGGATATTTAATCAATATATATATATATATATATATATATATATATATATTAATAGACACTTAATTTTAATATATACTTTATATATATATATATATAATTGGGGTCGGGGTCAGGGTGGGGCAAGGGCGAATCTTAGGATGGGCGAAGTTGGGTTTCAGTCCACCGCCAAAAATTTTTTTTTTTTTTTTACCATACTACTTTAAGCCCACCAAAAAAATAAAAATAAAAATAGTAATGATAGCCCAATCCAAAATTAGCTCAGTCCAAAATTAGCCCACCCCATTTAGAAAGGTTGGATCTGCCCTTGGGGTGGGGTGGCGACAACACTAAATCCGCCCCAAACCTGTTTCGAATTTTTAATTCTTTTATTATATCCGTCCCAAACCTATTTATGAAACTACCAAGTTCGCTCCATTAAAAGCAAAGTGGGGTGAAAACTCAAAGGATTGGAAAAAATTGCCATTCCAAATAGTAGTAGTTCTTTCTAAAATTGATATGACATTATAAGATTTTTACTTCTAATAAAATTTATGTAAAACGTTAAGAAAAAAAAAAAAGAAAAAAAAAAAGGGGTATATGTGTCCCAAGTTTAATTTCGGCTTGCAATTTTCTAACGGGTCCACAAAAGCGTTGTCCGGCGTGAATTAGTCGAAGTTGATTTCCAGTCGCCTTCTCACTTTGAAGAAGAACCGCTCTTACAGCGCGTAGAATATAATCCGTATTCAATTAAAGTCCCATATATATATTCATCGTCAGTCATTATAAATCGAATTAACATTGTTAACCAACTTGAGGTTTTAAATCCATGAGAAGCTTAATTAATCTAAGGTCAAAAGGTTTCTTTTTCAGATGTCAGTTATAAACTAGTTTCCTTTTGAAAAGACAAACAACGGTCATTCACAAATATATATCTTTATATATAAATTCATGTATCTATATATAAATATATACATACCTCACTCGGTTTTGATCACATGACTACGGTCAATTCTCTCTCCTCTCTTTAACATGTGCACAGTCGACCCAAACCACGTGCATGGAATTTTCCATATCACAAGGCGTTGTTGGTCTGCTATGCCTATAAAAAGGACCATTTCTCCTCGAAACATTTCATACTATCATATATCCTCTT